AAATACGGGGTTTGCATTCCATTTCTTGCGCATTACGGTTCGAACACTCGAACTCCTATACGGATTCATACGGGGTTTCCGTACCATTTCTTGCGCTTTACGGTTCGAACACTCGAACGCCTATGCGGATTCTTCTGCACAGTGGCAGATATGTAAATACGGGGTTTCGGTACCTAGGATGGAGCCCATGTGCAAGGCACATGGGGGATATTTTCTCTAACCACCTTGTCCGAGGGGGTGACCTCTCCGAGGAGGTGACTTCTCCGAGGATGAGAAAACCCCGAAGAGGAGATCACTCCCTCGGCGAACCCTTCTTCTTAGCCACACCTAACCAATGATCCCCAATCATCCCAAAGGGTCAGGGGTAGTCCCAGAGGACGTCCTGCCGCAAAATATTGCCGAGTCTCATGGACCCCCCGTGGTCGTGCCACCTCGACCCGGGTATAGGCTAGTTTAACCGAAGAGTGAATTTATCTCCACTCACCGTCTTCGGGATCGGGTCCTTTGTTCGGACTCCATTACGCCCATGGTTCTGGTGCGTAGATCCCGGAAAGCTCCGAGCCCGCAAGTGTTCTGGGACTCATTAACGGAGCGACTTCTAGATTGCGTCTGAATCCGTTCGAAGCCAAGTCCTTCGGATCTCTAGATTCGTGGATCCGAATCCTTTCGAGTCCGAGTGCCTCGGATCTCTAGGCTTGCTCAATACCCTTTCGAGTCCGGACCCGAGTATGTCTCTTGGTTCGTGGATCCGAACCCTTTCGAGGCTTAGAGCCATTTAGCCCGTTTGATGGTGATAAATTCGGACCCACCAATCTTGAACTATTAGGCCTAATTAATTTAATGGGCTCAAATTAAGTCCTCTTACACATTGAAATACATCATTAATTTTTCACAATGTCAGTCCACTGATGCAAATTAGCTCTCATGATGGTTTGTTGGCTTCTGATCCACCTGCAAAACCCCGACCAATGATGGTAGAAAAATCAGACTCAGTTTTTCATCTAAAGACTCCATTGATAAATCTTTGACAAACTATTTAGATCAATGGCGTGACTATAAAAAAAATTTAGTAAAATTTCTTTAGCAGTGTCATCTAGTCAGTTATTTTTATATTATTTAAATTATATATTATATACATATAAATATATTTAATTAATATAATTAGGGCGAGAGAAGTAAAATTCATTCCCATTCTACTTCGAGCGGAAAAACTTGTGTGGGACCAGGCCGGGGATGCAAGGGTGGAGTAGAGTGAAGGGAAATGAAAATTCTTAGTTTAGCTAAATGAGGCCACCCCAACCTTGCCATCCTTAGGAATAATCTAGAATGTAAAATTAATATGGCGTCTGAAATTTTTTTGAAACCTTCCACAACTTTTCTAACCTTTCTAGAACTATTTAGAATTTACTTTAAGATATTTTATACAAATTCTTGAATTTTATATAATATTTTTGCATTCTCTCAAACTTTTTAGGAGGTTGTGAAAACTTCCGTTAACCTCCAATGTTCCAACCCTTTTTGGTGGAGATTTTGTATAAATAATGGTGTAGCCAGAAAATTCTTATTGAATCAATTATCAGCAAGGTCATTATATCATATTTTTAATTTTAGAACGCTTATCAAAATAAAATTTCATATATCTACTATAAACATACTAAAATATTATATATAATGATATTACAAAGTAATTCAAACTAGTTGAATTACACAATAATACTTAAGTGTACTAATATATTATTTCTTCAATAAAATTAAGGACAACAAACTTGCGATTTTCCATCAATCAAATAGAGGAGACAAAATGATTGTTCTTGGAAAACAAAAAATAAAAGGGTAAATTACATATACCTCCCTCAAAGTTTAGTTAAATTACAGATATCTCCTGAGGTTTCAAAAATTACATCCCGTCTCCTGAGGTTTGTATTTTCATAACAATTTATCCCTTGAGGTTTATATTTCATAACAAATTACCCCCTAATTTCTTATGCAAATATAGCATTCAGGGAGAAATTTGTAATTTCTCAAAGTTCAAGGGGTTATTTGTAATTTAGCCAAACCTTGAGGGGTATATGTAATTTGCCCAAAATAAAAAATGTCTTTATAAGCAATTAAGAATTTCGTACTTCAAAAGAAGTCTGTTTTTTTGTTTTAGGGTTTTGTTAACAATGCCTTAAGGTTGTATTAAATATGTTTAACCACCTCCATTATCATAGAAAAGAGTAAAAATTATAATATGTTTGGGCAAACTTCACTTTCTTCTGTAGTTTGGGCCATGTATAGTTTATTTCCTAACATTTGAAAAATAACCACATAACTGTCACGTGGTTTGTGGACTGATGTGTACCACTAAACATTCCATTCAATTTAACAAGTGTGAAATACATAACAGACAAAAAAAGGTTATATGCTCATTTTCAAATTTCAAAAGGGTAAATCGCACATGAAACTTATGACTGACCTACCCAAAAAAAAATTGTACTAGGGAATAAATCACATGGGGTTGAATCGCACATGGAATAAAGCACAGTGTTAAAATACATTTTGCTTTTCAAATAAATGACGAAAATATATGAATATTTTAATTTTTTTTATTAAATTGTTAACGAATCTAACAATGCACTACAGTCCACAAATTACAAGAGGGTTATGTTGTCACTTTCAAATGTTAGGAAGTAAGCCGCACATCATCCAAATTAGAGGAGGGTAAAATGAAATTTGCCCAATATATTTTAATTACCACTAAGCTACCATTTTCTTTAATTCTTTCTATTTTAAAATTATATACTTTTCGTAATAGAAATTTTTTTAAAGATTATCATAAAATTAAATTTCATTATTTTTAAATAATATTTCTTGAATTAGAAAAAAATTAATGCCCTCAATTTTCAATCATAATTAAATTATATGGTGCAAGGAAAATAAAGAACTTATATTTTTCATAATTTTTATATGTCTTTTATTTTTATAACAACTATAAAAATAAAAATAAAAATTGTATACCTTTTATAATTTAATTGTGACTGAAAATAAAGGGAATTTAAAATTTAAAAAAAAATATCCACAACATGTTATTTTAAAATAAAGGCATTATATTGGGTATAGCCCATCCCTGTTTTTAAAAAAATCCAACTTCTAATGTTTGACATTCACAATGATAGTTATAATAATATCTATAAAAGTCCCATTAATATTCATATTCAACTATTAATAGTTATACATGCCAAACAAAAAGTGACATACAAATATGATAAGTATAGAATTAATTATTCTTTTAAACAATTATTATTATTATTTTGTTGATAAATCTATTTTTTGAACAATTTTAATGGCATCAATTTATAAAAACCTCTCAAAAATTTTATATAATACTACATAATTCTAAAATTGCACCCACTACTTCATGCATATAGCTCCGCCCATGGTTTATGTCCAATGAGATCTGCACTCCCCTTGATTTGCTCTACCTGCAAGTACAACCTGCTGCATTGTTGGTTCATTTGGGCTATTGCAGATTCCAAGTCTCGCGATGATTGTAACTGTGGTACCCTTGTCCAAGCCCTCGCTCTCAATCGAAATGTGACCTCCCATTAGATTTATAAACCTGATTCAATCATTTCAACGTAACTTGCAAACAATGTAAAAACATCCAACGCAAGCAAAAGAATACTCTAATGTTAGATGGCTAACAGAACTTCCTATGAAATATATTATAAGGAAGAAGAATCATTGATCACAACTATTACCGTTTGCAAATGGCGAGTCCCAGACCAGCACCACCATTATTTCGGTTTGAACCGCTTCGAGGCTCAGCAAATTTGGTAAAAATGAGTGGTATATCGTGCGAGTTGATACCGCAGCCAGTATCTTTAACCTGCAAATGGAAGGCAAGCATGTTTTCAAAAGTTCCAATTCCATGCCAGTAAACAGCTAAAATATAGATAAAAAAAAATTGATTCCTCACGTTCGAAGAATTATAGAATTTTTTTAATAATTTATTTGGTTTTTATTTTTATTTTATTTGTGTAAGATAACAAAAAAAAAAAAGAAGTCCGAAGGTCTGCCCTGCACTGTCTGGACAAACTGCTCAAGTTTGACGTATAAATGGATGATGCACCTTACAAATGTTCATTTTACAGACACAGTATGGATTAAAAAAGGGCACTTAAATTTATTCAAAAGAAAAGTAATGGAGTACTCAACCTGCACTCTTAAAAAGAAGTAGCCCTCACTTGACACAGGATAAAACTCGGGAAGTCGGCAGTCTCTCAAAGATTCTGGTTTTGCAATAGAAACAACAACTGAGATGTAACCCTTTTTTGTAAACTTCACAGCATTGCCAGCAATATTTAAGATTGTTTGTGTTAGCCGTTTCTCATCACCAACAGCATAGACAGGTAAATCCGGGGCCAAAATAAGTGTCAAGGATAGCTTCTTTACAGATGCGATAGGCTTTATCAAATTGATGCCCTACAATTAAAAAAGAAAGGACATCAACATCAACATCACTATTATTGTCACAGACATTCAAGTTCATCTAGTAATTTTATAAAGGGAAATTACCTGTCTGAAAACCTCAAGAAGATTGAACACCCCCGTCTCTAATTCTAGGCTACCATCTTCAAGTCTAGAAAGATCCAGTACATCATTAATAAGTGTTGCCAACATGTTGCTACTCTTGAGTATGGTCTCTATCATAACCCTTTGTTCGGGAGTCAGTTCAGTTTCTAAAAGAAGCGAAGATAACGAGATAATTGCATGCATGGGTGTCCTCATTTCATGGTTCATGACAGCTAGGAAATCGTTGCGAGCACGGATAGCCATCTCTGCTTCTTGTCGAGCTAAATCTAGAGCAACATTCTGTTCCATGAGCTGATCACGGGCCCGCATAGACTCCTCTAGAATTGCAGCATGAGAAAGAGCAACAGCTACCTTTATATAAGAAAAAAGTATATTAAGCATGAGAAAACATCCGCTGATGATAACAAGAAAATTTCTAATTTCTAATTTATTTTTTTTAAAAAAAATGAATGCTCAGAGTGTCCATCATCTTCATATTTTAGAGGCAGCAGTTACAGGCAGAAGGGGAGGACAGAAGTCCCAAACAGAATGAACTATCCAACCAACCATAACTTGTATCAAGTACTTGATGCATATGGCAGTTTTTCACATTATTACATTGAGTTGGGGAAACATTATTATGAATTGCTCATACTATAAGGCTCTGCAGCATCACTCAAGAACAACTGCAAGATGCACATAGCTCCAGCATCATTTTTCAGCTATATTAATCATATTAGGGTGCATTTCACATCCAATAGGAGTCGAACTGATCTAGTGACACAGTACTTTTTTTTTTTTTTTCCAGGAAATTCCCAAACTTTCCTTTTTCTGTAACCAGGAATCCAAACAAATATAAAAATCTAGAAAAGATAGAAAGGAAGAGAATTCATTTTGTTGAATACACCTGTTAACACCGCTGCATATATAAGAGTGATTCTATACCCTATTGAATGTATCAAAATAATTATTGATAGTAGATAATCAATGGATGCACTGCTTGATATTTAAGAACACTGATGTATCTTGCTACTTGTACATAACAACCATACTATTTTTAGTAATTCATTTGTTGCTCCATCATATAAAATGGTTTCATAAGGTGTAGTAAACAAAGTCTAATGGAGAAACCTACCACTAATAAGCACAAATTAATGGATTGCATTGAACAAGTCTCAGATTGCACTTGACAAGCCAGGACTTTGCACTTGCAGCACTTTCTTTTATCAATTACTAATTGTTTCCCCAGGTCAAATCAAGTTCCCAAGTACTAATTTCTAAAGTCAGTTACAAAAATACAAGAACTTGGGGTTAACCAGTAATAGATAGTCATACTTGAGTTGAGATTTATGGGGTACAAAACTGAAATTTCTATGACCCAATACCAGTAGGTGGAAACAGAGAAAATGCAAAACAGGGTCATATAAAACAAACAATTTATCTATCATTTACACAATTTTTAAGAGAGGACCAAACCATGCTTTCGTCTGTGTCCCAGGGAATTGAACTAAAACTAATAACAATGGTGAACAGCAGTTGATTAAAAATTTTTTACTCAATTTCCCAGGCAGTGAAAAGCGAACCATAAACAAAAAGAGAACGCATGATTTATGTTCAAAAATTTCAAGCAAAACAGATAATTATAACTTCTATAGCAGGTTGAATAATAGCCACTTCGAAAGTATGAGATAACACAACATTTCAGAAAATCAGAAGGCAATCAAAAAGCTGCAAATGGAAAGGATGAGTGGGTAAAAAAAAACCTGGTCAGCAACAACTTCCACAAGTTCCAACTCATGGTCGCGCCATTTTCTTATACCATCCATAGGGAGAATCAAAACCATCACAGCATAGCTTTTTGCAGAGAGGTCAGGCCAATCATTAATTTGGAAATTTGAAAGATGTAAAAGAGGAACCCGTACGGCAACAACTTCAGGTGGCACATATCTTTCCACAGGTCTGATCCTTGCTAATGGGCATGTATGTGGAATACGGATTGCTTCAGCACTATTAAAGACTTCATTGACTATGGGAAGATTGATTGGCACAGAAGATCCAGCAGGCATAAGATTGTTTAGAGTGTGAGAAAGTTGGAGATTCAAACCTCTTTGTGATGGCATCCACAATGCACATTCCTTCAGGTCTAAAGTCCTACCCAACTCAACAAGAGTAGTTTTTAGTATTGTGTGTCTGTCAAGTGTGCTTCTAATTTCATGAGTAAGCATCCTAACATGCCTTCCAGTTTCTTCTTGAGACATAATAAGACCCATCTCCCTGTCAAGCTCTTCAGCCTTATTCTTCAAAAATACTTCTCGTGTTTTGACACTTAGCAAATCAGGAATAATATGCACAAGCATCAAAGCCGTTGCACATGACACAACAGCAGTAGCAATTTTCGCTACAGTCATCACAACAGCAACAGTTTTAGAGTGCATAGAGAATGTCCACAAACTTATGAAATGGGTTGCTCCACAAAGAACAATAAAAGCACCAAACTGCATTAGCACCCATCTATATGGGAAGAATGCTGATTTTTGTACAAAATAAATGAGCTCCAAAGGAATAGAGAAGTATGCAACAGCAATAAAGAAGTCTGATATATACTGATACTTCACCAGAAGCTCATCAGCAGGCCATTGAGTCTCAATGCAGTCACATGAATCCATTTTCTAGCAACTGGTCCAACAAAAATCATACGAACATAAGAGTCATTATAAATAATCCATCATCATTCCAGCCTAATTCACAAAGCAGATATGAATTTTCTTGCTTAAAGAAGTGGTATAATTAAGACACATAAGAGCATCATGTGTTAAGAGGAGATGCCTTCCTATCTCTGTGTAATATGGATAGGTCTTCTGAGATTAAAAACAAATACAGAAGGTACATCACATTAGAAAGAAAATTTCATAAAACACCAAAGGAAAATGTGCTAATTGCTAATGAAATGCAAGGAATAGATCATCCCTGAAGCAACACAAGCACAACCCATCCAATAGATTAACTTTCCCACTTCTACCCAACTCACAGCTTTGCAAAGGCATTTCAAAACTATTAATAAAGAAATCTGTAAGAAGATTTAGACAAACATCTTTTGAGAGTTAAACATGGTTCCTTTTGTACTCAAATTCATTAAAAACATTAGATTTATTAAACCCTAAAGAAATTAATAGCATCGATACTAAAGTGAACTGACGCCAACAAAATCAGGTGACTCGTGTAATATCCGTGAATGAAATCAGAAAGAACAATAATTGAATAAATAAATAAATAACTGAAAATCATGAAACAAAATCAGGCTCCGTTTCATTTGCAGCCAAATCACAAGTACAAGAAATGAAATAGGTTTAATTCCATGTCTTTGACGACTCAGAAATCATTTCTTTTTTTTTTCTCGATAATTGGAACCAAAGAAATAGAAGCTTTTATATATAAGGTTCGGATTTGCTCCTCCGTTTATTTTCCTCCGGCTTTCTCGGTAACCAAACAGAATTCTTACTTTTAAAAAATTGATTACTCAGAACAAAATTAGATTAACAACTAGATGAAAAAAAAAAATTAGAAATAGAAAGAGAGTTTAGTTTAGTAGTAATACCTGTAGTGAGAATCAGAGGATGTGATCTGAACAAGGTGTTGTTGTGTGAATTTGTTTCTTCAGAGTGCGAGTTCTGAGACTTGTTTTGACTGTCCCGAGTCCGACCTTTCCCTCTCTCTTTCAGACCAAAAACAAAAAAAAAAAAAAAAGACGTAATCAATTACAATGCATACTTAAAAAGGTAAAGTGGGAGAAAGAACACGGACGATGAGGTTGGTTGCTGATACAAAACGGTGGCGTCGCGCGTGGGACCTGGGCATCTTTTGGAGCAAGGGTCTTCTAGAATTTTTTTTTCTTAAAATTTTTTAGAGTGGTGCATTGTGTGGTTGAGATTTAATGACAAGTCATATTAATTTTTTAGTATTAAATTTCAAATACACAATACACCATTTTAAAATTTTTTTTAAAAAAAACGCTCTAAAAATCCTTGGTGCATCTTTTGATCTACGATTTTAATTCAACATAAATGCTCAACTTAAACACGCGTGTGTTGTGAACTACTGGATCAAAATCAAAAGTGTAATAAAGAGAAGATACATGCACTCTGTGTTTTTATGGTGATAGGTGGGCCAGCCGCAGCTGAAGCCTGTCTCTCCGAGGGCATCTCCCTTCTATTTCACGCTTCGTTTATTTGAATTAAAATATTTTTCGCATTTTTTTTTGACATTTAATATAATAAAAAATAAAAATTAACATGACGATAAGAAATAAATTTATTAAAATAAAAAAATACGTTTTACTTTTAAAACGTGAAAAATATACCCTAACTTTCAACAACACTATCATATTACGATTTACTTTTAAAACGTGAAAAATATACCTTAACTTTCAACAACACTATCATATTACGATTATTGTTATAATTATTATTATTATTTTTTCACTATCACGCCATCATCTCTTGTTTTTTTACTCTTTATCTTACTATCTCTATAAAATATAAGAAAATATTTTTCATCAATTTTTTTTTTTTACCCATATAAAACAAATCGTTGAAATAGAATATAAATTAAAGTCTAATTACTGTGCTTCATCAAAAGCACAACGTAATAATTATATTAATTTTAAGAAAAAAAAAACTAATTTACCAATTGTTAAAAGGGATTGTGATTCGCATGAACCGATGACCGGTAGAGGAACGTCAAAATTGTGATTTGAAATGTATAAAAATCTCAGATGACACTAACCTGGCCAATACATGCCACTTTCGGAAAGAAAAATGCTCCGTAACCCGAAAAATTGAGGTTCGAATGGTACGAAAAATATTATCTTATTGGTAAGAGAATAAAAAAAAATCTTAAAACGACGTCGTTTTGAAATTTCGAGCCATTCGAACTTTTGATTTTTCGGATTCCGTAGCAGTGTTGCTTTCGAAAAAAACACATGGTCACTATCACCCCCGAAGAGCATCATAAATAAATTTAATAATTTTAAGGTACAAGGTATCAATTTATAAATAGTAATGAGTATTATTTTAAGAATATTTAATAATTTTTTATATTAAAATTAGTTTAATGGTAAAACTTTTGATTTACTCGTTTAAAATCTGAATTCAAGTCTATATATACGCTGTGAGTGTTAAAAGATAATACTTCTTGGTGAATATGTAGAGTAATCTATTTATAAATCTATTTTTATGAATCAAAAAAATTATTTTTTATTTTGTTATTAAAATGTTTTCAATTATTATTTTCTTATAAAATCCCATCTATAAAAAAAATTATACCAAACAAACAAATAAAAACAGGAATCTTTCTTGAAAAAAAAATTAATAATATCAGTGAAAAAAATAGAATCTTGCTTTTATTAAAAACAATGTTAAGGGAAAATTTAACAATTAGATGTTTAAAAAATTACTATTAAAAAATGAACTTTCAAGTTGAATCAAACAAATTACATCAACTTTTAAGACTAATGTGCTGATCCATCAATTAAATATGATGACCATTTTTTATTTTTATTTTTAAATTTTTTCTTTTAAGATTGATTCGTTGAATTGAATTAAACAGTACGACCCACTTGAGACAAATAATGGTGGAAAGACCCCCACCATCTCCTCCATCATCCACATTGCTAAAAAATCTATGTTATCTACCCAAAGCCTGGTTTGCCTTCAAAAAATCTTACATATTCCAAATAATAATGATATTAAAAACAACTCTAATTCAAGAAAAATTATTCGATACTCCTCCATCAAGAGTCTAAAACAGTATTTATTGTTCTAGACTATGAATCACATTGCTTTTTGTCTATATAATCTAAAGTTTCACGAGGCCGGGAGAGTAATATGAAAAATTTCAAACCTTCATGAATTGTAAGAAGTGTTCAAATATAACTTGTTTATTGATTTCAAACTATCTGCAACCAAGGGGAAAGGAGGGGGAGGGAGAACTTGAAGCAGATAATCAACATAAAATGATGATGCTTGCGAACACCCAATCTTGGTTCCCAAAATTCTCACCAAAATTCCTCAAGTTCTATCCATTCTTATATGTAGAAAAGGTTGGCCATGAAATGTATTTGACAACTCAACAATTGTAAGCTGACCAGATGTTACAATTTATGTAATTCTGCATTTATAAACAATAATTTCTATCAAAACAAACAAGACTATTTAAATGAAATAAGACAAATTGGATTGAAATATTACCATACAGCATTCTGCAATGGAATAAAAAATATAGTCGATGGCCCCATAAATTTCTGGAGCGTGTTTCTTTTCTGGAGTTTGTCGAGAGCCATTGGGATGATGCATGCCAGGAAGAAAGTTCACAAATGTAAGTTCAAATCCTGTATTTCTCCTTTTTATCTCTCTTGACCCTTTTGGGAAAACGTTCTTTGGGATCTAAAAGAACTTCACGGTGCATTTCCAACCAAAGCTCTTCAAATTGACCACTAAAACCCTCCTGAAACCAGTCCAGAATTTCTGCATGCAATTCTCTGGGGTTCTCATTCCAAGCCTCTCTTAAAGTGGTGCAGCTGTCAATAATTCTCAACCTGGTCTTTAACTTGTCTAGAAGATTCCCAACCCTTCTATGACCTGATGCCTCTGGCCTCAAAATGCTACCCGGTGAGGCTGCCATGAACTTCCTGACAGATCTTAAGCATGGCAAAACATGACCTTCAAGCAAAGAAAAGGCAAACACAGCCACTCTATGCACATCATCTTTAATTGGAATACCATGCAATGGGAACTGCCATAAATGAGGGCCAAAAGTTGGAATGACCCAACAGAAAACTTGGTCTGTTAGAGGATCATAATAAGGCTTGGGATCTGCAAGGGGGGCAGAGAAAGTGCAGAGAGACCCGGCATATTTAACAAGCCAATCAGACTTTACACTTGTTGCACCGTGTATATATGGTCGTTTTGTATATAGCAGTTCACTGTACACCAAAAATTCAGGGGCAGACCTGGCGACAGAGGACCACCGATGGAGGAAAACAGGTTCTTTAACCATGCAAGCCTGATAGCGACTTGCACAAACTTTTATGTCTCCCTCTGATGCCGACACTTGTCTGACACGTTTCGCAACCCTATCAGCCCAACCGGCACATATAGCTTGGCCCAAGAGCTCCTCTTCATTCAATAGCAGAGGATACTTATCAGACGAAACCCTCCAAGCACGTTCTACATCCTCCACAGTACCATGAGTCCATGAAAATTCCTGTTGAAGACCACAAAAACTTTGGTTAAACACTAGTTGAAGTAGCTGCTTTCTCAGCTTGGACATTTCCTCCATGGTTTTCAGATGTAGTGCATTGACATCGCAGAATTCAACTGAATTTCCAGAAAGTTCAAAGCACTGCAAGGCATAAGCTATAGTCAAAGCATCACTGCTGAGATTAGAAAATTTTGCACGGGACACTTTAGCAGATTCTTTAAGCTTTTTCTTCCTCAACTTTGCTTCCTTGTCAGTGCTTTTCTTGCTATCTATGGAGCCAGATTCGTCCCTCTTCAAGCCATCTGTATCTGTGTGGCTTCCCTCAAACTGCATTACAAAAGGATTTGACAAACTCAAGGCTGCAGCTGCTGCCAATGCATATCCTAGAACAAGATTTGCCCGCCCATAAATTTTCACCTTTCCCATTATTTGTATTACTGTCAGCAGCATCCGAGAGTGGCGAGGGCTCATGGGATACTGTGCCATAGCCTTCCCCAGGGATGTCAATCTCCCTTTACTATCAAGTGCTTCAAGAGCCTTTAAGCAACGCTCCGCTTCAAACAATGCAGTAACTTCAGGAGGAGTAGGAAATGGGAAATTTGAAACCTGCAATATAGGCAACATTAAAGATATTATCTAAAATATTATCAATCATGTTTTAAGAGATAATAAAATAAAAAATAGAAAAATATAACCAGAGCTCAGCAGAGAAATTCCTACAAACTACATCAAGTAAGAAGTTTTTAGTTGACATTGGCAACTCAAATAATCTCTAGTCCAAAACAGGAAAAGGCAAAAGCAAGATTAAAAATGATCCAAATGTAATGCAAAGCAAACCCAAATTGGACTACTTAATCTATGCAATTGATACAACAAAAATGCTATGAACCCACCCTTTACCCTGAATGTGTTTGTGTGGCAGAGATAAAATTGATGAAATATGGGGTCCATGAGTAAAATCAATTTGAACCATTGATTTCTTTTTCTGGGTAAATTCTAGGTTCATAAGTCTGGATTTGCAGTATTTGTTGATACAATCATTACTTAAACGCATAAAAGAAAGCAAATGATATAAGTGGAGATGTAATCTTTAAAGCATTGTTTTTCTAGTGAACCAAAATGATCTGTTACCTTAACAGGAGCTTGTAATTACATACATAAATTACCTTATCAATGCCCATAGATTTCATGAGGAGGAGGACACCATCAACAGGTATTTTTGATATCTCAGCACTTGAGAAGTCAGGAAAAATGTTATTAAACACTGCAGAAGAGTAGAGGCGATAACAGTGGCCAGGCCCTGTTCTTCCAGCTCTTCCTGCACGTTGAGCAGCAGATGCTTTGCTTATCCACTGGACTTCATATGTTTCCATGCCATTGGACGAGTTATAGTTCTTAACCTTTTCTCTTCCAGTGTCAACCACATACTTTATACCTGGGATGGTTAATGAGGTTTCAGCCACATTAGTGGCAACAACAACTAGGCGATCTCCTTCCTTAATTTCTTCAAACACACGAAGCTGTGCTGATGCAGGAAGCATGGCATAAAGGGGCAGAACACACATTGCACCAGCACAAAGACCATTCACTCCATGCCTTTTCTCCTCCAAACCAGGAATTGATTGGTTTGAGCTTCCTTCCGAAGAAGGAACAACCTGTTTCTCATGAAAATCAGGATTCAAGGTAGTTTTTCCAGCCAAAACTTCAAAAGCAGCCTTCAATGAATCAAGGTCCCCGTCCTCTCTAAATATTTCTGCAAGATTATCATCAACATTGGTTTTCTGGTTCAATAAACCCCTATCGTCGTCAACACTTTCCAGATCACTATCTGTCCCCAAATCATCAGAAAAATCTGATTCATTATCATCTAAATCACCATGGTCTTCATCATAAGAACTAAACCTGTCAGTTTCATCATGGCGTGAGTTTCCATGCATTTCAAATGCTTCATTGATCTCCTTCATATCATATTCCTCAGCAGCATTCCCTACAGAGGCTGTAGAAACCTCGTTTCCCATATTTCTTTTAAAACTATTCTCAACTATTTCCTTTGAAGCTTTACGCAGCTTCTGGCACAAGTACTCTACTTCTCTCTGACCGGTGACAAATACAAGTACGCCACCAGGTGGCAATCTCTTGTGAATTGACAAGACCTTCTTAAAGGCTTGGCCAATATAGTCCACAATCTCTGTTCGCTTTGAGAAGTGTATAGTTACAGGATACTGTCTAGTTGGAATTTCAATCACAGGTGGGGGATCACAAAATATCCTCCTTCCGGAAACGAAGTCTTCAACTCGTAAGGTGGCACTCATAAGCACCAGTTTTAATGGAGAGATCTTCCTTTCAGGGCTTATTCTTTCTCCTGAAAGGACCTTACGCTGCTGCTCCTCATAGATTATCTGCAATAAAGCACAAGATCATAAACCATACAAAGAAAAAAAAAAAACTACAGGGAACTTTTCTTTAAAAGTAACTGTCGATTGTGGAAGCCACAAAACCATGATCTACAAAATCTTAAACCAATAAAATTACTCTGTAGATCTCACCTGGCGCTGTTGTATAACGCGAGAAAGCATTCCAATAAGTATGTCAGTGTTCAAGCTCCTCTCATGAGCCTCATCCAAAATTATGATGGAGTACTTCTTCAATAAGAAATCACTCTGCATTACAAAGACAAATGTTAATGGAAGTATATTTCAAAGAAGGAAAAGAAATATTTTACTAATATACCCATTACTTTAGGAAAAGATGGTGCAGCCAAACCAGTCAAAACAAGAAAGGAAAATGAAAGAACAATGTCCTAACTTCAAATTTGTCTAAGAGAACACTTTATTTATTTGTTATTTATTTATTTAATTTGGTAGAAAGCTTACAACAATATTAAATATCAACAAAGTACGGTTAAAAAGAAAAACATATGAAAAAAAATTAGCATTAAGCGCCTTGACTAGGTCTAGTCTTTGGTAGAATCATTGTCCCAGTGAGATAAGTTGTTAGTAAGTATATTGCTAACCTGCACTTCTCGTAACAAAATTCCATCAGTCATAAACTTGATGGAGCAACGGTCTCCAATCCTCCGGTCATGCCTAACTTGAAAGCCAACCTCCTTGCCTAGACGAAAACCAAGCTCAAATGCCACCCGCTTGGCAGTTGCAAGGACAGCAACACGGCGTGGTTGGGTAACACCAATAATGCCACTCGAAACACTAGATTGGTCTGAACCAAAGCCTGCTTCATAAAGAAACTGAAATATGCCGACAAGGAAGCACAAATTGAGACCATCACCATAGTGAAAAAATAATCTTGAAATCCAGAATGCAGTTTACAGAAAACACACAACTAGGCTACCTGTGGAACTTGAGTGGTCTTACCACAACCAGTCTCCCCACAAATAATAACAGTAATGTTTTCATTTATAGCTTCCATTATCTCCTGCTCCATCATGACTATTGGAAGATCCTTCCTTTTGTTTTCAATCTCTTTTGGTCTTGATACATGAACCACAACTGAAGCAGTTGGAACTCTCTGCAGAGGACAATCTGCTGGGTTGCTCGTATTGCTGATATGCATTTCTGGGTTCCCATCAGCCCAATGCTATCCATCAGTCCCCATTAGGCAACAAGAATATAATATTAGTTACAAGTAACAATAACCAGAGTGTGACTATAAACAATAAACATATTTGTTTCTACTATCTGCATATGAAGCGTACCATTGACCTGCTAATTTTTCTTCTATCACAGTTGGATGATGTGGGCAAAGAATCTTGGGCATCTTCTTGCATGTTTGTGTCATTATTCTCTTTGGCAACTTCCACAACTGCCAAGGTTGCACCAGATTCACCAATTGCACTAAATCTACTGCTACAAACTGAATCTTTGGAAGATCCCAAAGAAGTAGGAAATGACTTCTCTCTCTGCCATAACCGGTTGCAGAAAGTAATTATCATCAAGGCCTTGCCTGGGTTGGATTAGGCCAGAATCGGGCTCATTTCCACACAAAGGACTGACACCACCCTTGAAAGGCTGATCACCCAGAGGCACTGCTAAACCCAACTTCGAAAACTGTGCTGCTCTTCTACGTTTTTCATGCATAGTTTCAACCTACAAATAGTTAGTTAGGCCCATTCATAAAAACAACCAAGGGTATTTTGTCTTAAATAATAACGAGTAGCATAATAACTATACAAACCTGACCAATATTTCGTGAAGACCACATCACTGAGTATGCATCCTCTGGAATTTTGTATTTCCTGAAAATATAATCCAACCAATATATCCATCAAATACCATGCCACTCATGGGATTAAATGAACTCTAAGAGAAACAAACTATTCAAATACACCAAGACTAAATTGGTAGAGCATACTCCAAGGTCTCAATGCTTTTCGATAAGAGAATTGCTTTCTCCTTCTCCTCCTGCACATACGAAAACAAAGTCACTAAGTTTGATAAACACAAAATTTAAACAAGAACAGACTGAAGTTATACAAGCACACAGACCTCTATCTTCTTCAGCCTTCTTTTTTGGGATTTAGTCAACTTTGGAATATTCTTTGTCTTAAGCTGTTCATGCACCTGTACAAAGATATTCAAACAAACCGACTCATACATGATATACTAGAATTGGAGGTCGAGAAAAAGCACTGCAAAGGTGCTAGCATATACCTGACTCTTGTCTTTCTTTTTATTTCTTTTCTTTTTTGGCAAGATGATTGCATTGCTATCACCCCCACCTCTGTCACTATTACATGCAAACAATAAACCCAAGGTTTATTCAACCCAGAAGAAAAAAAATTGAAAATAAGAAAAGAGGAAGAATGGGTTGGAGTAAGAGTTCATAAAATACTTGGCTTAAACAACCAATTTGTGTTCTTCTATTTAAGTTTCGAAACAATTCATGAATCGAAATCTCATAAAAGGAACAACAACAAAAAGGTTCACAACAAGAACTAAGAGTGTTTATATGTTTGTTTACATTACAATTACAATGATACATTAACATATACAAGCAAGCAACAAACTGATGATGGAGATAAAAAAGTGTTCAAAGGCAAGGAAACAATGTTACCTCAATAAATCCTGTCCACCATTCAAGGTTCCAGATTCAACCAAATCATCCAAACATGCTTCCATTTGATCCGAATTAAGAAAATCAAAGAAATAGTGAACTTTTTACGCAACCTGAAAGGTAATAGCAAAAACTGTATTTTTACAATTTCCTTTTTCCATAAGAATTTGACTCAAACAACAGTTGGCAAATCAATTCCAAAAAAAACGAAGCTTAGAATTATTAACCAGTTTTGTAAAACCAAAAAAAAAAATTAAAATTAAAATAAGAAAATGATTCGAGTTCATTCAAAGCTTCGAGTTGAAAATCAACCAAGACATTACCGAGAGAGAGAGAGAGAGAGAGAGAGAGAGAGATTACTGATTCTGCTGGAAGAAAAAGGTGGTAAGAGTGGGCTAGGGTTTTGGTGAGGAAGAGATGATAAACCCCTTCGCAACAGTTTAACTGCTTTGCACTCGTTTGTTTTGTTGGCCTAGGTTAAATCCTGAAACGAAGTCGTTTTATATGGGTTTTTAATCCAAAGGCCGCAAAAGCACATGGTGTTGGGCCAACGTGACATTTTAATGCTCAAAAATATTTTCTTAACCTATTTAAAATAATGTTGAGACATGAACTCAAGTCCTCCGACTTAGAAAACAATAATTTATCACTTGAAAAAAACAATATAATGTATTTTTTTCAATCAAAATTCAAAAAATATATTTTTTAAATTTAACACTACGCACATTTAATTATAGTTGGTGAGAGAGAACGAGGGGTTAAATTGTGAAGGGAGCAATAATTAAAAGAAATTGGTGGAGAAATGCCGTCAATAAGCTTGATTTTTTTAATTTTGTAAGTAATTTTTTTAATTTTTAGACACATATAACACAAATATACTTAAAAAGTATAATATTTTTGAAAAAATTCTTTAAAAAATTAACTAAATATCAAAAATATAAAATAAATATATATATATATGAAAATTCAGTATATTTTTCCTATTTTTGTATATTAGTTGTGGGGATATATTTTCTGAGTACCAACATTGGTGGAGAAATGCCGTCAATAAGCTTTATTTTTTTAATTTTGTAAGTAATTTTTTTAATTTTTAGACACACATAACACAAATATATTTAAAAAGTATAATATTTTTGAAAAAATTCTTTAAAAAATTAACTAAATATCAAAAATATAAAATAAATATATATATATATGAAAATTCAGTATATTTTTCCTATTTTTTTGTATTTATTAATTTTTTAAAATATTTTTTTACAAATCCACTTTTTTTAATATTGGATTGTTTTAGAAAATTGATTAAAAATTAATTTTTCAATTTTTTTAACTTTTTCTAAAAAAATATATAAAAAATTAAAATTTTAAAAATATTTACTAAAAATAAAAATACAAAAAATAAAAATTGAATTTTCAAAAAATTAAAATCAAACGCACTAAATATTCTGGAATTCTTTCAAGTCGCTAACTGTTCCAGTTTCCAAGTTTTACCCGTTTGCGAGCGGTGGTGGTGACTTTTCTATGAAAACTGTCGGAATAAACATGCAGTTATTTGATGGCATTAGATAAATTATAAATATAGCGTTAAACTTTGTTTAAAATATAAATTATTTTATGTGATTTTCGAAATTATATATTGCTTGTTTAAACTTTCAATCACAATAAATAACTTATTTTATTAATAAACTAGTGCATACTCATGTCTAAAGATACGGTGTAAAGATCAAAATAGTTTTGTAATTTATACGTATCATGTTAAAATTTTCATAGTGTTTTTTTTATTCTTAAAAGAATTTTTAACAGATTTACTTGTATGACACGCTCTATAGAACTCAATTAAAACAACAACTCCCCCTAACCTTAATGCAAATTAAAGAATAAACATATAAAATTTATAATGTTTAGTAATATTACAAATCAAAATAGTAATATGTAAAGTAAAAAAAATATAAATCTATAACTCATGCCTAAAGGCAATCTCAACAATTTTTTTGGTACCTCACACTCTACAAAACTCAATTAAAATAAATCAATTCAGAATGACAACAATTTCATTGCACTATAAAATTCAATTAAAATAAATCAATTCAGAATGACAACAATTTCACTGCGCTATAGAACTTAATTATAACAAATCAATTCAAAATGGCATACTTCACGCATAAGAGGAATGGTGAATGAACATTTTGGTGCAAAAGAATAATCATTATAGCTTATTAAAAACAAAAAAACTAATCATCTAGTCAAGAATGAAAGACCAACCATTAACACACATAGAAAAAAGCAACACAACCACAACATTTCTAATGCTGATTAATCATTTGGAATCATTCTCACACTAGAATTCAACTTTAAAAAATCAGCTAAAAGAAACCATAACAGGAACACTCATTCAAAATATTTATGAGAAAAAGGAAAACCAATAATTATGAATTAAAAGAAATTGAACATAAAAAAAATTCTAACTCTTCCTAATAAAAGCACTAATGTCTTCCCCAATTTACCTGCAATTATCAAACTAAATACCAGCAATTATTATCACATTCACACTTGAACAATTTTCTCGTGATCAAAATACGTGATTCCTCATAGAAGGCTTAAAAAAAATCATTTAAAAAAATATAACACTTGAGAAAATCCAAACAATCCAAACTGACTATTGCCGACAAAAGCTAAGAGGTAATACAAACTATTGTATTAAAACTAAAAAGATAAAACACTTAGTCAAGGTTCCTCACCTTCATAAGTATGAAGGTGTGAAGCTTGAGTAATCAGCTTAAGGGTTTGATAGAATATCATCCCCTATTTATAAATGAAGATTAGGGTTTACAAGATGAGACAATTACATGTCGAGCCCTGAGAGCATAGAATAATTACAAACCAAAAAAAGCTCAGATAATAATATAATATCCTAACACTCCCCCTCAAGCTGGTGCAAAGATATCTCTCATGCCCAGCTTGCCTAATATGTCATGAAATGGCTTATTCCCAACCCCCTTGGTGAGAATGTCAGCAAGTTGTTCACCAGACGGGACAAAAGGAGTATAAATGATACCACTAGTGAGTTTCTCCTTAATGAAGTGACGATCAATCTCAATATGTTTTGTCCTGTCATGTTAAACTGGATTGTGAGCGATGTTGATGGCGGCCTTATTATCACAGTATAACCGCATGGAGTCCGACTGATCAATACCTAGATCACTCAACAATAACTTGATCCATAAAAGTTCACACACCCCTTGTGCCATAGCTCGAAACTCAGCTTCTGCACTTGACCTGGCAACCACATTCTGTTTCTTACTCCTCCAAGTAACTAGGTTGCCTCCAACAAAGGTGCAATACCCTGAAGTCGATCTGCTATCAGTTACTGATCCAGCCCAGTCAGCATCTGTATAGGCTTTCACACGAAGATGATCATACTTTGAAAAATAAAGACCCTTACTAGGAGCAGACGTCAAGTACCTCAAGATTCTCATGACAACCTCAAAGTGAATCTGATGAGGGGCATGCATAAACTGACTAACCACATTGACAGCAACAGCAATATCAGGACAGGAGTGAGATAGGTAAATGAGCTTACCCACTAATCGCTAATAGCTCTCCTTATCAACAGTTTCTCCTCCTTCATCATCCCCTAATTTTTGATTGGGTTCCAGTGGAGTGGCACATGCCTTGCAGCCAAGCATCCCAGTTTCCTTCAATAGGTCAAGCACATATTTTCTCTGTGAGACAAATATCCCATCCTTAGAGCGAGCAACTTCAATTCCCAGAAAATACTTCAAGCTTTCCAAGTCTTTGATTTCAAACTCATAAATATTTCTTCAACAGAGGGATTTCCCCACTATCATTGCCTGTAAGAACTATGTCATCTACATAAACAATAAGTGCTGTAGTCTTACCACATGAGGAATGTTTCACAAACAAAGTGTGATCTGTTTGACTCTGTTTGAAGCCATATTTAAACATAGCCTGAGTGAATCTCTCAAACCAAGCCCTTGGAGCCTGATTGAGACCATATAATGACTTCCGAAGCTTGCATACTTTGCCTTCTGTCTGATGATCCTCAAAACCAGGAGGAATGTCCATATATACCTCTTTTTTGAGGTCACCATGGAGAAAGGTATTCTTGACATCAAACTGATAAAGCAGCCAATCTAGATTAGCTACTAGAGAGAGAAGTACTCTAACTGAATTCATCTTAGCCACGGGTGCGAAGGTCTCTTGATAATCAATGCCATATGTCTGAGTAAACCCTTTTACCACAAGTCTTGCCTTGTAACGCTCAATAGACTCATCTATTTTGTGTTTCACAGTATATACTCATTTACATCCCACAGGTTGTTTGCCCGTAGGTAACTCAGTCAATTCCCAAGTGCCATTCTTCCTAAGTGCTTTCATTTCCTCAATCATGGCTAGTTTTCACTCAAAGGTAGCAAGAGCATCCTGAAAATGATTAGGAATGCTAACAGAGGAAATATTGGACACAAACGCTCTATATGAGGATGACAAATGAGAGTAGGACACAAACTGTGAGATAGGATGTTGAGTACAAGATCTCACACCTTTCCTTTTAGCAATAGGAACATCAAGATCAATGGACTCAAGAGATTCAAAGTTACCTAGACTCTCATCAGAAGCAGGAGATGGCAGTGGAGGAGTAGAAGTGGTCCCTTGTATCCAGTTAACTTGTTGTCTTTCTATGTCCCGGACATAAACATGCCCGTCCTTATCCTTGGTGACATTAGGTTCTATAGTCCCAGTAGAAGAGGGTGGTGCAAGAACTGGTTCCACCATAGGAAGCACAGTAGAAGAAGGTGGTGCAAGAACAACTGGGTCCACTATAGGAAGCACAGGACTCACTTCACACCAAGGCTCCCCCGGAAATGAGGACGGTGACACCGGAGAGGACAAGAAATAGGACTGGGACTCAAAGAAAGTAACATCCATGGACACAAACCACTTACGAGAAGAAGGGTGGTAACATTTATACCCCTTTTGAGTAGGAGAGTAACCAAGGAAAACACACTTGAGGGAGCGAGGGTCCAACTTACCACGAGAAGGAGAGTGATTATGAACAAAATAGACATAACCAAAAATTTTGGGAGGAATAGAAAACAAGGACTGAGAACTTAGGAAGACGTGAAGAGGAGCTTGTTTTTGCAAGACCTGGGTAGGGAGACGATTAATAAGATGGGCAACGGTGAGAACAGCGTCACCTCAATAGGGCCGAGGCACACTCATAGAAAAACACATGCACCGAGCCATGTCAAGAAGATGCCGATTCTTACGTTCTGCCACCCCATTGTTGAGGGGTATTGGTACAAGAGGTTAGATAGATAATGCCATGAAAAGAGAAATATTGTCCTAACCCAGAATCTATGTATTCCCCGCCATTATCAGAACGAAATAGTTTGACAGTGGCCCCAAACTGAGTACAAATCATCTTATGAAAATTGCAAAACACAGAGAAAATCTCACTCTTATCTTTCATGAGATACACCCAAGTAGCACGGGAAAAATCATCAATAAATGTAACAAACCATTGATAACCTTTCGCAGACATAACACGAGAGGGACCTCAAACATCAGAATGTATTAATGAAAAATGAACTAAACTTTTATTCAAACTGGGAGCAAAAGAAGCTCTGTGTTGTTTTCCAAGTTGACAAGACTCACAAAGAAAGTCAGACACATGATGATTTGCGAAACCAGATGGAAATAAATGCTTAAGTAAATAAAAAGAAGGATGCCCAAGACGCCGATGCCACAACTATAAATCAACGGGGGTAGTAGAAGACGTAGTGGAAGAATAAACAAGTTTGTCCGGTTGATCCAGGAAGTAGAGACCATTTTCTGCACTACCACTGCCAATCGTCCTCCTCGTGACAAGGTCTTGAAAAAGACAATGATCAGGGAAAAACGTCACACTACAATTCAAATCCTAGGTAAGACGACTCAAGGATAACAGATTAACAGAAAAATTGAGAACATGGAGAACAAAAGATAGATGTATGGTAGGAGTGACTTGGACTAAACCTTTTCCAGAAATGGAAGAAACAGTACCATCTGCAATCCTAACTTTGTCTTGACCTGAAGAGGGCTTATAAACAGAGAAAAGATCAGAGGAGCCAGACATATGATCGAAGGCACCGGAATCAATAATTCAAGGCAAGGACTTATGACACAGGAAAACACAAGGAGAAGAGGCTAAGTTACCTGAGCGGGCAAAGGAAGATGAAGCTGTACTGAGAGCAGTAGAAGACCGGCGGTCCAACAATTGGCACAAAGCATCCTCCAGCTCAGTATTAGAAACTTGGCCAACAGAAGCAGAATTAGAATCAAATGTATCAACGGCACTAGACTGATGAGCCCGGGAATAGGAACCACATCCTCTAGACTGGCCGGACCGACCTCCTCGAGAACTAGACCGATCACCTCGACCCCCGGATGGAGTCCCATGAAGCTTCTAACACGTCTCATGAGTATGCCGCGACTTCTTGCAATAATCACAGAATATAGACTCCTTAGCAGCAGACGGAGGGATGAGAGTTAGGCTGAGGCCATCTCGAGGAGTAGACAGTAATGTTGAGCGGTCAATAGAGACAGGGGACATCATAGCAGATCGGCGACTCTCCTCATTCTGTACATAGGCAAATACCTCTTGAAGTGAAGGAAGAGTGTCTATACCCAGAATTCGACCCCTAACTGGATCATACTCCACATTTAGGCCTCCCAGAAATTTAAAGACCCGTTCCCGTGCAATGAACTTCTTGTACCCGACAAAATCAGCAGGGCAAATGGGCTTATAGTCTTCCAGGTGGTCAAGGCATTTCCAGCCGTTGGTGAGGAAAGTGAAATACTGAAGAACAGTTTGCTCCCCCTGAAGTGAGCTCTCAATAGAGCGGCGTAACTCAAATGCCTGTGAGAAATTCCTTTTGCGGGAATAGGTGACAGCTACAGCATCCCAAACATCTTGGGCAGTCTCCATAGATAAATAGCCCTCACTAATTTCAAGAACCATCGAATGAATAAGCCAACCCATAATCAAAGAGTTGGTAATCTCCCATTGGTCATAACCCGAGTCAGTGGTACTAGGTGCCTGTATCCTGCCATCAACATATCCCATCTTCCCTTGACTCTTCAAAAATATAGTCAAACTTTGAGACCATGCTAGGTAGTTCTGACCATTAAATAGAGAGGTGGTGATTTTCAGACTAGGGTTGGGGTTCTCAGTCATGGTAGTAGGTATAATGAGATTCTAACTCCTCGGTGTTTGAGAAGTAGGGGACACACTGGTGGAATCTACCATAGATACTATACTACCGAACCCGCAACAAAACTAGTGGCAGTCACAAACCCGGAAGGTGGTGATGAAAGAACAGGCACAATGACCACTATAAAAGCATAACAAAATTAAGAAACCATTTTTTTTGTTGTATTTATTTAGTTATTCATTTATATATGTATTGGTACGGTCTATATACACGACATAAGTATACCAAACAGTGATGACAGTATACCAGAGAGAGATCGACAAATTGCTGGAAGATCGACTGGCGAAGGAGATCGACTGAGGAGGTCGACGGGCTGAGACTGAGGAGGTCGATGAGTTGAGATCGAGGGAGGCGGCTGCGTGACGATCGCGACAGAGGAAGGCGACTGAGTGATGATCAACTGAGAGACGGCTGAGTGGCGATCGACAGAAGAAGGCGACTGAGTGACGACAGCAACTGAGTGAGGAAGACGAAGCAGAGATCGACGAGAGGAAGGTGACTGAGTGACGACGGCGAGCTGAAGATCGTAGCAGATGATCAACCTAGGTAAGTTTCGAACCCTAGAGTCGTTAGTGCAAAGGTCGACCAACAAGGGTGAGCCGAAACCCTAGATGTTCTACTCTGATACCATGAAGCTTGAGTAATCAGCTTAAGGGTTTGATAGAATATCATCCCCTATTTATAAATGAAGATTAGGGTTTACAAGATGAGACAATTACATGTCGAGCCCTAAGGGCATAGAATAATTACAAACCAAAAAAAGCTCAAATAATAATATAATATGCTAACAAGGTGTACTGTAGATAACTGGTTTATTCCCTTCAAAAAAAATTTCCTTGAGTTGTAATGAAGTATCATAGAACTAAATAGGAAAAGCAATATGAAGTCATGCACTTCCTTTGATGTAGTGTTAGAAAAAAGGACAATGCTTCCAAATGCCTTCAAGAATTACCAAATGCATCCATCACTACAATCTGTGAATTAGTATTATAAAACATTGGTTCAATTCCTTCGACTTCCCTAATCTGAAGAACCTTTACAGTTTGTTCACATAAAGCCATATAAGAAATCATATAATTAAGCATGTTAAATAAATAGGCATTGAAAAAAAAAGTTAATTTTGAAAAAAAGTTATTGACTACATCATGCATGATTTCATTAGAAAGTAATGAGACTGCTTGAATCTTTAAAATCTAAGATCTTACACGATCATTAATAGTACATTATTCGCTATTTCTCACTTAATCCCATTAAAAGAAATAAGCTTAGAAATTACAAACGTATTTAAATTACTTAAAAAATCCATGAGATCCATGGCCATCAAATCCACCATCTTGTTGTGCTCTTGGGTCAATATTCACTTATCCAACTATTAATTGGAAGAAAAATCTCGAATATGAAAACCAAAAAAAAAAAAAAAAAACCTGCATGGAACAAATTTGACATCTCACTAAATTTAAGAAAAGACCATGGCAAAACTGATATTACACCTATTACTACATTCCTAAGTATGTATCAATGTCAGAATTAAGAAAAGACCACAATGTTGCATTCAATTATTCAAACATGAGGAGCTTTCGACATAATTAGAAGCATAACAATAGAAAATTGATACAACACAACCTACCGGTAACATCAAATAAAATTTTAACAACAATACTAATATTATGAAGCATGAAGTGCTTTGTAGTCTTCAAACATACTTATATTTTAATTGTTAAATAAATAAATAATAAATAAAAATGTTTCAAGAACCATACCAATTGATAAGAATTTTATTCAAGAACCATCCTAGGACTAAAAAACTGCGATTTCAACACTTTGAAGGTTGTTGAACCTCTTTCTAAAAAAAAATTAAAAAAAAAAACTGTTGTGACAAAATAAAAAAATTTAGCATCTCACCAAAAAAGAAGAAATAAGAAAGAAAGAAGCGTAAATTATCAACATCTGATATGTCCTTAAACTCACTATTAGCCTCACACTCCATTTTTAATCCTCAAACAGTCCTCAAAGATTCAATTTTCCCAAGAAAATCAAAATAAGGATATTAATACAACAAAGTTCACTCTAAATATTCACCCAAAAAGAAGTTCACTCTAAATGGTTAACAACAAAGTCCAAAACAAAGAATAAATAAAAGAAAGAAAAAAAGAAGAGAAAAGCAAGCAGAGGAATACAAATCTGAATAAATGAGCTTTCATATGATCTAAACAACAATGCTAAGAATACATATGTTTAAAAACAAACCCAAAATAGAATTGTAAACAAACACTAAATCAAAATCAAATTAGAAAACAAAGGCACCTAAGGATCTCATCACAGCTTGAGTTTAAGATAGAAATGTTTTTAGAGATCTATTAGCTGGCATAATGGGAAAATGAAAAAAACAACAAAAGGAAAAGCTCATTATGTAATGAAAGAGGCACAAAAATAGTGAAAGCAAATATTAGATAACCAAGACAACAAAAATTAGACTTTAATGAGGCGGTAGATAGGAGGAAGGAGCAAAGTTAAGGAGGGGTTGAGAGATATCTAGAAATTAGATGGGTGAAGTGTTAAAAATAGACCATTGGATTAAATTAATCTAGATTGTCCAAATTGCCACATAGGACAAATACATTTTCAAAATCAGTCTTGGAAATGGACTGTTGATGAAAGGGAGCAATCTCTAAAACTAAATATTTTGTTTTTTGCAAATTTATTCCCCCATCGCATTGCCACATCCTTCTTTGTCTTCCCTTTCTCCTACGGCACACCCCTCTGCCTTACCACAGAATCACCAATCCATTAAAGATAGACATTCAATAAAGCCAAAGTAAACAGGCTAATGTGCTAAAGAAATTTAAAAGCGCATCAACTAATAAAAAATAAAAAACATCAAAATCAACAACCAACAAAAATAATGATTGATTAAACATAATATGAAAAGTAGATGTTAATGAATACCTTCAATTATTTGGATGATCTCGTAAAAGCAACAGATTTTGAATTAAGCATCAGAATTACTTCAATTATTTCCTGCAAAATAACGCAAAAGATTATGTAGAGGGGATTCCATTCTAGAAAACCATGTACAACAGATTTTGAATGTGAAAATGCAAAGCAATAAAATATATTGCTAATTACTAAGAAGTTGTCATTTAAATGTGCAGGAAATATTGTGAAGTAGGCTTGGGAATTATTGATCGAAATAACAAAAAGTGTAGTTAGAAAATAAACAACAGTACAGGAGTTACTAAAATGATTGTGAATCACTTCAACCATATGAGTCCTTTTCTTGTTATAATGCTTTTAAAATTACATGAACCTCAAATATACAAACAGATTTCATGAGTATTCAAATGATAAAAAAAAAATACAAAGGAAACAAAGTAATGAATCACAAAAAATATTCTTACAAATAGTGAGAATATTATAAACCTCAAAAATTGTTGATTGAAATAACAAAAAGTGTAGTTAGGAAATAAACAATAGTACAGGAATTACTAAAATGATTGTGAATCACTTCAGCCATATTAGTCCTCTTCTTGTTATAATGCTTTTAAAATTACATGAACCTCAAATATACAAACAGATTTCATGAGTATTCAAATGATAAAAAAAATACATAGGAAACAAAATAATGAATCACATAAAAAATATTATTACAAATAGTGATTACATTAGAAACCTCAAAAATTGTTGACCTTTAGCAAGAAGAAATCAAATTTCAAAAATAGATTTATTTAGAAAAGAATTCAAAAAATAATGAATCACATAAAAAATATTCTTACAAATAGTGATTATATTAGAAACACAAAAAATTGTTAATCTTTAAGCAAGAAGAAATCAAATTTCAAAAATTGATTTAGAAAAAATCCATACCTAATTTTCATACCTTTAGCATAGCTTCACCATTCTACGACCGAAGAACCAAGGGACATTACAAATTCTCCTATAATACAAATAAATAAAAAAAATAGGTGAAAAATTATACTAGGAATGGTTAAAACAAAATACAAATAGACTTCATGAACCACATAAAAAATATTCCAAATTATACAAACAATGATACTACAGAGAACAAAAATTGTGTCTGAGAAAGAAGAGGGAGTGAGTTAGGGATTGGGAAGAGGGAGTGGGAGCTTTATGGGGGGAGATCGAGCAAGGCTAGAGTAGATCGGCAAAGTTGGGAAGATGGTGGTTAGCACTTCATTTTAAAGCCTACTCACCATAGTAAGCGATTATTGGATTGTTCAGGAATCAAGAGGATTGGACTGTATGATATGCTTCAACAATAGGATTTTAGTTTGAGGTGGTTATTGCTTTTGCATATGAGGTGGGGGAAAAAAAAAAGTGGAGATAGTAGAAGAATTATCCCTCTACTCAAAAATATACAAAATATTGTTCTAAATTATACATATTATTTTGAATTTGGATGATAATGTTGGACCCAAAAAAACAATATCTACCTTTCTTTGACCCATTTACAAATGGATATGGTCATGGCTGTACAAATTCTCTCTCAAATAACATACAAAAAAAAGAAAAAGAAATTACATAGTACATTTAAGTCAAAAAAAAAAAAAAAAAAAACATACACACACATACAGTCAGCTCTATTAAGGCTTTAATGGTCTTCAAAATCAAAGAATCATGGGATTGTTGATAAATATGTTACTATTTGTCAATAAAAAAAAAACAAAGTGTTAAAGGAATCAATGTAGAATTAAATTGATAAAAAACATAAAATTAATGTGAGCCTACCAAATTTTTAGGCAATGAGAACACATAAATGTAATTAAATACCAACCACTATGTTTGGATGCAAAAGATTCTTAAAAAGTTTCACTTTTTTCTCAAGCTCTCTAATGTGAGCCTATTAAGCAAATTGAAAGCAATGATCCGGATACGAATTGTAAGAATCAATCACAATTAAAGTTATAAAATAGATAAATAAATAAATAACTAAATCAATACCAAA